TTAGTATATAATTTAAATTTTACTTTTTAAAAATAATTTTTGTTTTCCTTTTATTTGTGGATGTCTTTGTCATTTTTATTGTTTTTCCCACAAGTCTTTTTTTCATGTGTTTCTTTTACATTTCTCTGTCTCCTGGTTTTACTTTAATTTATGCATTTCTGTCTCATTATGCAAATAAGGTGGGTGGTCCTTTACGGGTCAGCTCCTCTCCTATTGGTCAACAGACAGGAAGGAGCAGGGTCCATGTGCAGATCGTGGCCCGGCCCCAATACTCGCACTACGCCCTACTCCCCTGAATGAAATGTGCACATAAGGGTTCAGGTGCACAACTTACAAGCATGCAAAAATTGGAGAATTGGGACAGGTTACAACATCGACTTGCATTTCTGCAACATACAAAATGGCGTTATCAGTCGCTGTTTTGGCATTTGTACTGTTAGAGAAAAAGACAACTACAACAAGTGATTGTTTTTAGGAGAAGAAAGTGCATGATCAGAAGGAGGCTTTTACACCAGATAATATGTCTTCTTCTATGAGTTCTTCTTCTTTGATTTAATTGGTGGTAAAATCAGCCCCTTGTTCTATTTGCCTTGTACAGAGTGTCTGGACTCTCGGCTATTGAGATGTGATTTCTTGTTGGAGATGTGGACTTGAATTTTAAAATAGCTGGATCTGATTTACCCAATCACTAACATTTGGCCCTGATGTATGTAGCGCACCAGCTCGACAGTGAAGAAAGCTAAGCTATGAAGCTAACAGAAAATTGTGTGAGCTGTAAACCATAGATTCTTAACCTATGGGCTGCGGCCCAATTGTGGGCCGTGAGCGCCACCTTGAGGGCCTCAAAAGAACAATAGTTTTTAACTTTGGGCCGCAGAGGGCCGCGGGACCGCATTGATTTTGAATAAGGTGGATTAGTTACAATACACTTTCTCACCACTAGTAGCAGTAGTGCGCCATTCAGTTGTTTAGCAACTTTTTTAATATGTGGAAGAAGAAGCTTAGAAACCAGCCGAAAACGGAAACCTATTTTAAATTAAAAGTAGAAGCAAAAATGAAAGCAACCAGTCAAAAAAGGCCAAAGTTTATCATTAATATGAAATACACCTTCTAGTTCTATCATGCAGTATTTTAAAAGTTCAAAACATTATCAAATTCAGTTGCAGAAACAGCTATATTT